AGTGTGGGGCTGGGGCCTGTGTGGGGTTAAGGCCTAAGTGTGGGGCTGGGGCCTGTGTGGGGTTGAGGCCTAAGTGTGGGGCTAAGGCCTGTGTGTGGGGCTGGGGCCTATGTGGGGTTAAGGCCTAAGTGGGGGGTTAGGGCCTGAGTGTGGGGCTGGGGCCTGTGTGGGGTTGAGGCCCAAGTGGGGGGGCTGGGGCCTGTGTGTGGGGTTGGGGCCTGTGTGGGGTTGGGGCCTGAGTGTGGGGCTGGGGGCTGAGGCCTGAGTGTGGGGTTGGGGCCTGAGTGTGGGGTTGGGGCCTGAGTGTGGGGCTGGGGGCTGAGGCCTGAGTGTGGGGTTAAGGCCTGAGTGTGGGGTTAAGGCTTGAGTGCGGGGCTGGGGCCTGTGGGGGGGCTGGGGCCTGCGTGGGGTGAGGCCTAAGTGTGGGGCTGGGGCCTGAGTGTGGGGTTAAGGCCTGAGTGTGGGGCTGGGGCATGGAGCAGCCCTGGCTCTGCTCAAGGAATTGCCCCAGAGTTGTCTGTGGGCCTGGCTTGAGCCTCTGGCGGGCAACTGCAAGGCCTCAGGTGTCCCCCCCAAAAAAACCCCAGCCTGACCCATGTCACCTCGCTCCCTTCCGCCTTACCACCTCATTTTCCCCACTTCTAACAGCATCCAAAGCCTGAGAAGAAAATCTGACAGCGTCCAAAGCAGCTTCCAGCTTCACTGCGGCGTGGCGGTGAGTAAAGGCACCTGGAAAAGAGCTTCATCTCGCTGGCTTCGAGCATCTCGGGGAGGTTTGGTGGCAGGTTGGTTTTAGAAGCGGGCAACAAATGGGGTAACATTGACCCCACAAAGCTGAGTTGTCACCCGAAAGAACCCAAATTTGGTTTGGGAGGAGCCCCAAAAACTGAGGTGAATCTTGGGCCCATCCTGACCCGAAGCCAGGTCTCAAAACCCTGCTTCCAATGAACGCCTCCCCGCTTCTCCCTTTTCGGGTCAGAGCGGGGATCCCCTTCCACGTCACCCCATGGGGACCCAGCGGGGCCTCTCAGGTGTCCCCAAGGCGTCTGTCACTTGCGGCTGTCCCTGCTCTGCACCTCTGGGGTTGTGACAGCCAGCACTGGGAGCACTGGGAGCACTGGGGACGCCTGAGGGCAACAGGGGGCAGCTGGGGCTGCAGGGTAACGGTGATGTCCCCGCAGGCGCCATGTTTGTCACCAAAGGGGCCTGGACGTTGGTGGCCTCAGGACAACTTCCTGCCCATGTCCCTCCCGGTGAGCGCCCCTTATGTCCCCCTCTGTGTGTCACCCCCGTGTCCCTTGCGTGCCTTTACGACCCATAATGTCTCCCTGTGGCGCTCGGTGGCCCCGCCACGTCTGCCCCCACGTCCCCCTGCCTGTCCTCTCTGTGTCCCCAGCCTGCATGTCTGCGTGTCACCCCACGTCACTCCAGTGTCCCCTCCTTCCCTCCGTTGTCACGCAGGACGTCATCCCACATCCTCATCTCACTCCCCTGTTTGGCTCTGTGTCACCCCTGTGTCACCCTGCATGTCCCCTATGTCATTCCACATGTCCCCATGTCACTCTGCATGTCCCACTGTCCCCCCACGTCACTCCACGTGTCTCCATGACACTTTCATGTCCCCTATGTCACTCCACATGTCCCCATGTCACCCTGCATGTCCCTCAGGATGTCCCCATGTCACTCTTCATGTCCCATGTCCCCTGTGTCACTCCACATGTCCCCACGTCACACCAGATGCCCCTCCTTCCACTCTCTATCTCCTCCATGTCACTCTGCATGTCCCTCAAGATGTCCCTCAGGATGTCCCTATGTCTCTCCACATGTCCCCTCTGTCATTCCACATGTCCCCATGTCACCCTGCATGTCCCATGTCCCCCCACATCACTCCACGTGTCCCCATGTCACACCATACACCCCTCCTTTCACTCCATGCCTCCTCCATGACGCTCTGCATGTCCCCATGTCACTCTTCATGTCCCCTATGTCACTCCACGTGTCCCCATGTCACACCATACACCCCTTCTTTCACTCTGTGCCTCTTCCGTGATGCTTTCATGTCCCCTGTGTCACTTCACATGTCCCCATGTCACTCTGCATGTCCCACTGTCCCCTCACATTACTCCACGTGTCCCCATGTCACACCATACACCCCTCCTTTCACTCCGTGCCTCCTCCATGTCACTCTGCATGTCCCCTATGTCACTCTACGTGTCCCCATGTCACCCTGCATGTCCCTCAAGATGTGCCTATGTCTCTCCACATGCCCCCTGTGTCACTCCACATGTCCCCATGTCATTTCACGTGTCCCCATGTCACCCTGCATGTCCCTCAGGATGTCCCTATGCCTCTCCACATGT